GCAGTCAACTGAAGACCCAACACCCCACCATTCCCAGAGAAGCCCCAGAGCAGAATGAACTTACTGAGCAGAGGTCATGGTCAGACCCCAGGCCCCGTCCACTACCCTTCCCACAATCCCCTGGGAAAGGGGCAGGGCCAAGCCCCAGAAGCCATAGAGATAGCCACAGGAGTAGGACCCGTATTTCTCACTTGCCTTAAGTTTACAGCAGGCTAAGGACCATACCTTTTTTTGTTTTTTTTTTTTTCCATTTGGGAGTTCTGACTCATCTCCAGTGATTATCATGCCACTTGTTGCTGTGGAGAAGGTATTTTTATAGTTGCTGTTTTATTTTTCTAAACTTAAGACATTTTTGTCCTTAATTGTTGACCATTTTCTTTAGTGTTAGAATGTTGGAAGCATGTTTTCTTGAGAAGAACCAGAAACGCTTCTAGTGTCCTGGAGGACCATAGAGCCATAGAGATTGACATCGGGGGACTGATGGGCATTTCTGGCGTCCTGGAGGACCAAACGGTCATAGAGGTGGACTTCCGGAGGACTGATGGTCACTTCCGGCGTCCTGGAGGACCAAAAGGCCATAGAGGTGGACTTCCGGAGGACTGATGGTCACTTCCGGCGTCCTGGAGGACCGAAAGGCCATAGAGATGTACTTCCGGAGGACTGATAGTCACTTCCGGCATTCTGGAGGACCGAAAGGCCATAGAGGTGGACTTCCGGAGGACTGATAGTCACTTCCGGCGTCCTGGAGGACCGGAAGGCCACAGAGGTGGACTTCCGGAGGACTGATAGTCACTTCCGGTATTCTGGGGGACGGAAATATCATAGAGATGAATTTCTCGGGGACCGTCCGGCACTTCGGATAGTTGCTGTTTTATTTTTCTAAACTTAAGACATTTTTGTCCTTAATTGTTGACCATTTTCTTTAGTGTTAGAATGTTGGAAGCATGTTTTCTTGAGAAGAACCAGAAACGCTTCTAGTGTCCTGGAGGACCATAGAGCCATAGAGATTGACATCGGGGGACTGATGGGCATTTCTGGCGTCCTGGAGGACCAAACGGTCATAGAGGTGGACTTCCGGAGGACTGATGGTCACTTCCGGCGTCCTGGAGGACCGAAAGGCCATAGAGGTGGACTTCCGGAGGACTGATGGTCACTTCCGGCGTCCTGGAGGACCGAAAGGCCATAGAGGTGGACTTCCGGAGGACTGATGGTCACTTCCGGCGTCCTGGAGGACCGAAAGGCCATAGAGGTGGACTTCCGGAGGACTGATGGTCACTTCCGGCGTCCTGGAGGACCAAAAGGCCATAGAGGTGGACTTCCGGAGGACTGATGGTCACTTCCGGCGTCCTGGAGGACCGAAAGGCCATAGAGATGTACTTCCGGAGGACTGATAGTCACTTCCGGCATTCTGGAGGACCGAAAGGCCATAGAGGTGGACTTCCGGAGGACTGATAGTCACTTCCGGCGTCCTGGAGGACCGGAAGGCCACAGAGGTGGACTTCCGGAGGACTGATAGTCACTTCCGGTATTCTGGGGGACGGAAATATCATAGAGATGAATTTCTCGGGGACCGTCCGGCACTTCGGAGGGCCCTGTTAGCGGTAATATCCGCTATCGGAGCGCTAACGTCCGTTCTCGGGCCCGGGCAGGGCAGCCGTGCCTGCGGGCGGGCGGCACAGGAACCGCTCTGGCTGGCGGGAAGCCGCCGGAACGCCCTTTGGGCTGCTTCGTCCTCGAGCCAGCGCTGGCCCGGCCTCGGCGGAACCGACGCAAAGCCCCGCCCGGGGGCGGAGCCGAGGGGTGGGGAATGATCATCCTCCCAGTGCGCATGCGCGGTTCCTCTTGTGCAGTACCGGCCGTCGGCCGCCGGGCGGCACCACCCCCTTAGTTATTCTGCTCTGAGCCCTCATTAGGGTGATGAGCAGCGGCTGCTCTCAGCGCTGTTCAGTTCCGACAGGGACTGTCACCATCTTGTGGCTTCCATCTCTCTGCCCTGTCCCCACTCTGCCCAGCCCCACTCGGGCTGTGACTCACCTCTTTTGGGGGAACCCCATGTAATTCCCACATGTCCCACTCACCTGGCTCCTCCACCGCACCATTGCTCCCCTGGTGACATTGGGGTGCCCCAAATGACATCACACACACACACACCATCACACTCACCACTTTTTTTTATTGATCAAAAAACCCAAACAAAATGACCAGACCCAGGGCTGGCCCTTTCCCCTCAGGCGGCTCCACCACTGGCTGCAAACCTGGGCTGGGGCATCTATCAAGCACCACAGGACACATATAACGAGGCATCTGAAAAACAAAAATGCCCAATTGTAGTTCAGCATCATAAAGCAAAATAGCAGAGAAGACAGTAGAGGAATTCTGGCACCGAGGGAGGTGGCCATGGGCCCTCCTCTCCACAGCCCTCATCAGCCTCCAGGCGGCTGCCCCAGACTGTGATATTTCTCCCAGTTGCTTATAGAAGGCTTCGTCCACCTCACTGCTTTGGTTGGGAGGTCTATAGCAGACTCCCACAGCAATATCACCTTTGTTTGCTCTTACCCTAATCCAAATACTCTTGACCCTGTTATCACTATACTTAATTTCTGAGCTCTCATAGCATTCTCTAACATACACAGCCACTTACATACACACCACCTCTCCTTTCTTGTCTATCCCTCCTGAAGAGTTTGTAGCCCTCGATTGTGGCACTCCAGTCATGTGAGGCATCCCACCACGTTTCTGTGATAGCCACTATGTCATAGTTTTCAAGGTGAATCATGGCTTCAAGCTCCCCGTTTGTTGTTCATACTGCGTGCATTGGTATAGATGCACTTCAGACGAGCTCCTGGTTCCAACACCTTTTTGTGAGTGCGGGCCTCATTTCCTACCAGACCCCTCTCAGGTGTTTCCAAGACTTCTAGGTGTCTATCCCTTCTCTGAAATGAATTGGTGTAATAAGAGTCCTTCCTAGTCCACCGTTCCTCAGGCCCTGGCGTGTTTTCCTCAGGTTCAGTCCTAACAGGACCTGTTATCCCCCCCTCCCCCCTCATATCTAGTTTAAAGCCCTGTTGACGAGCTTTGCTAATTCCTGTCCCAGAATTCTTTTCCCCCTCTGGGACAGGCGCATCCCACCTGCCCCCAGCAGACCAGGTGTCTCATGTGTCAACTTGTGATTAAAAAAACCCAAAGCCCTGTCGGTAGCACCAATCACGAAGACATAAATTGACCTGTTACCTCATCCTATTAATTTCCCCACTCATGGTATCTACTGATGGGATAGAGGAGAACACTACTTGTGTTCCTGATCCCTTAAGCATCCTTCCCAGGGCTTTAAAATCCCTTTTAATTGATTTTGGGCTCCTTCTTTCCACATCATTGCTGCCCACCTGAAACACCAAAAGGGGGTAATAATCAGAGGGGTTAACCAGGGTAGGAACTTTGTCCAGCACATCCCTGACTCGTGCTCCAGGGAGGCAGCAGACCTCCCTGTGAAGTGGGTGGGGATGGCATATGGGTCCCTCTGCCCCCTTTAATAGAGAGTCACCCACAACAATGACCCTTCTGCTTTTTCTTTTGGAATTAGTTGTGATTCTATGTCTGCCGTGACTGGGTTTTTCTGGTGCTACTGGCCTAGTTGTACAATCCTCCTCTCCAACAGCCGGTTCCTCCTCCAAGATACCATACCGGTTCTGCAGGGTTAACTGTGGAGGTGGGAGGGGCAGGGAGGGGATTCGCCTGCTTTGCCTAGCAGGGACCTGTTTCCATTCCCCCTCCTCCCTGGGATCCCCTTCTACTGCTGGGTGAGAAGAAGGTGGAGAGTCCTCTGCTCTATGTGAGGCCTCAACATGATCAGCATGTTCCCTTACTCTCAGGGAGTGGGCACAACAGCCCATCTCCCTCTCGCACTCCCTGATGGCCCTCAGCCTTTCCACTTCCTCCTTCAGCTCAATCACCAGGCTGAGGAGATCATTCACCTGTTCACATCTGACACAGGTGTTGTCCTCACTACTCTCCATGGCAATGGCCAGGCCCCGGCACTCCTTGCAGCCAGAGGCCTGGACACCTACATGTTTGCGTGGGGCCTCTGTCTGGGTGCCCACGGCTTTCTTAATAAGAGTTTTTGACCTGGTGCTAACCATAGCTGGACGTCTGCAAGCAAGAGACAACAGAATGGTCAGTTAGAATGAACGTGCTAGTTGTCTGTTTAATAGAGAAACAGAACTTACCGCGTACAAAGGCAGAGGTGCAGAAACCTGCTGCACAAGTTACAGCCGCGTGAGGTGCCAAGCAGGACCCCCCTTCAAGCACTGCTTTCTGCTCGGTGGGCCGAGACTAGTCCCCGGGGCTCCTTATGGGGTGTGATGAGCCGTGGGAGGTGCTGGCTCCGCCCAGGCCACTCAGCAGCCCGCCCACCAGCTGTCAGCCTCGACCACGCGGAGGAGGCTTTGCCCTGCGCCTAAAAAAGCCCCCAAAAGAGCTTCTCGCCGGCCTTTTTAGCTACAGATCCCTTCACCCAGTGCAGTCTTACCTGCCCTGGAGCCGGTCTCTGCCGCAATGCTTCAGAGTACTTCAGAACTTCAGAGCACTCTGTCTAAATATCAGGGTGGAAAAAACCCCCAAACCTTCAGTTGTCTCTCTTTTTATAAAGATTTAGATCAAATACCTGACTGCTTAAGTAGACCTCATAAATTTCACGCTACAGCTATACTGGCAGTTGCAGTTTAAATCATGCAGGACAGTTTGTAAATTATACAATTTTAACTGTTTTTTAAAGTTTCATTTAGCATAGGAAAAAAAAAATAAAAGCAAAATAAGAGATCCCCCAAATGTTTTTATTTTTGGGGGGGAAGGGGAGAATCAAATCGTCGGTGCTACAATCCATCAGGCTACCAAAAAGGACTGGCAGACTGGCCAAAGCTTTTCACTGTGCCGAACACGCAGAGGAACAGGATTACAGGTTACTGTTACAAATGAGAACCCAAAGACTGACAAAGAGGTGCAAAGAGAGTGCAAAGTCTTGTGGCGACTAAAAAAAAGCATAAAGCTTTTCTCATGAAAACAAAGCCTGCTTCTTCTGAACATCTCAACTCTTACAGTTTTTTCCCTCTTTTAGTACAAAATTATTTTCACAGTGTCATTTAATAGACAGCATGCAGAAAGAGAAGATTATGCTTTCAGGAAGAGAAAATAAACGGAGGGAAGTAAGCTTTGCACAGGCATAACATGCTCTGGAATAGACCTTATTTTTTTGTGTTTTGTATATTGAAGGAGAGCTGGCACATCCTTCATGTTACCTTCAAAGTCCATACTACAAGGACCTTAGGAAAAACGCAGACCCACATGGCAGACGTACGTCGTACTCACAGAGCACTCTGGATCCTCTCCATCCATCCTGTGCTGGCATGGCAGAAGAAAGGGCAACCCTGAAGAAACGGTGGCGAGAGAGGACAAAACCCTTTAGCATAAGAATCTAAAGCTTCCTTCTTTCATTAAGGTTTGTGAGGACTACAGTCCAGTGGAGGAAAAACTACTCGGCACCATCTCTGGTACAGCTGTTGATACCAGGCCACTAGAACTTTTGCATTTTTTGAACAAATCTGCTTTTTTTTTTTCCTCACTGGCAGCTTCAGTTGCACTAGAGCCACTTTCCCAGACACACACAGGCGACAGGCACAGATACCTACCTACATTTTCTCAAGTGATCTTCCCTGAGAGATGTCCCAGCTCAGGGTGAGACATGGCGTCACAGCCCGCTGCTGTCCTGGAGGGCTCAAAGGGTCTCACTTAGGATCACTATTTATAGTATCAAGAGATGACTGACTTTGGCCAGTGTTTTTCTATTTTGGCCACAATTCTTGTCACGTAATTCTGGTACCTTCCAGAGTGGACTACAATCCAGGCAGGAGTCGTCTTGGGTACAGGAGTGGTACAGATGGGGAGTGCCTAACCATCCCAACTCACTGCAGTTGTAACCAGGACAAGAACAGAAGGTTGGCTTGTCCTGACATCGCAACGTGGCCCAGGAGTTCTGCACCACCACAGGTGGAAATTCAGCATATAGACCCGCATTTTTCGCCAGGCATTTGAAAAGAAATTACCCCATTTATCACAGGAAATATCAACAGAAGGCTGCTTATCCACCTGATTTCTACTGGAAAGCACAATACTTTTCTTAAACAGGTATCAAAGATGGGACCCACGAGCAATATCAGGGGAACGAGTGGGGTTAGAACACCTAGCTATTCAGGAGATACCAAAAGGAATGAGGAAAGGGGACTATGATGAAAGAGAGATGCCTTAGAAAGGGAGCACACAACCGTTATGTGCATCAGCTGTAGAGAGGGTGTTGTGAAAAGTCATTATCTTCCCATCTGAAGCCCTCAGGGGTGTTATAAAGGTAACAGATTGGGACCTATAGAAGAACATGCATTAAAAGAAAAGAGACACCTGCCTGGAGATCATCTCTGCCGGGACTCGAACCCGGAACCTCTGGATTAGAAGTCCAGCGCGCTCGTCCATTGCGCCACAGAGACCTCACTGTGAGCCCAGCTTCGGCACCAGAACTGAAAAATCCCACAGCCCCCACATCACTGGAGGGGTCTCAACACCTGGCTCTCACAGATGGTGCTGAGGCAGTGTGAAAACCCGGTGCCCAGATCGATCTCCCTCGCAAATCAACATCTCTAGGCATCCCCTTCTTCCACAGGGACGGGCAATAATTCTGGGTATGATCTGTATCTCTCTCAGCAGCAGGGATGCAGCAAAAACCTGGATGCAGGCTTGTATGTCTCTGGCAACCTCTCCGCAGCATCTCTAGCTCGACTGAGGGCAGAGCTAAATCCTGGCATAGAGTTAATTGCTGCATCTCCCTCAGCATCATCACAGCATCCTCGTTGCAGAAGCCGAGAGAGAGAAAGATGAAAGAGGATTTAGCTTACAACACTGAACACTAACAATGATGAAGAAAGCTCCGTCACGATGAAAAATGCAGAAACCTGTGGTTTGAGCAGAGAAATAAAAGAAAAAGCAGCTATTGTGTTCTTATTTTAAGCAAGCTGTCAATCAAGGATTTAATGTTTTTCTATGTGCATCTTCCATCAGAAAAAAAAAATAAGATTACCTCAAAACAACTGAAAATATCCTTTTACATCTGCTGAGCTACTGATCAATTGATCAAACTCTGTAACGTGATTCCTTGTTGTGAACAAACACATTTTGCATTTCTAAACAGCATGAATTTTAGAGTATTGTTGACTCCAGAATATTGGGAGAAATCCTTAATTAGGGACAAACATGAAAGGTGAAATGCTAATTGCAACACGACTTGCTTACAAGAATGCACACTACCTGAGACTATGAGCTTTTACCTCAGGGTCAATGTGACCTGAAGACCCAACCAAAGCCAGCTCTTACCAGCTGCGAACACTCCATACCAACGACAATAGAAGATTTACCCTTCGATGGAACCAGGCGTATAACCACAGGCAGAACAGCAACCGACCAGAATCGAGGATAAACACCACTACCACCTGTAGGGGACAAGGCTTTACACCAAGGAAGATCATCACACCACTGACAACACGTGTATGACCATACGTGATGTGTGTACCACCTGCAGGAAACAAGCACACACACATCCTGCCAGGGACAAGTACACCCCGATTATGCCAGCAACAATAACCTATTAGTCCATGCCTTAACATGAAAAATGTGACTGGTCTATACAGCTGTATTATCACATACATAAGCCCTGCTTTCCTCTGTATCTATGCCCTCTGTGCTGGGGTACCGCTACACACATAGCTGAACTACAACAGAAGAAATTCTGTTTGGCAACTCTATGCTAAGCATCCTTGCCTCCCTTCTCGGCTGGCAAAGAACTGACTTTTACACAAATGGGGTTGTGAAATCACATGATGCTAACAAGAAGAGTCACAGCGCTAACAACCTCAGCACATCTAATGCAAAACCAAAGAATTTGGTTTTTTTCCTTTTACTGAGGCTCTGGGGCTTTGGAAAGGTTTACGGTTGTCTTGACAAGTAAAATCCAGCTAGAAGTGGTGGTAAAGAAGGCAGGGGTTTAACTTCTATCAGATACAACCCCTTCTGCTGCAAGAGATACCCAGTAAATCGATAATCCTTGAAATAAATTACTCTGTGAACCAACTGTAGTGCTAACATAGTGCTGCAATCACACCAGTACACTGAGAAAACTCAGTCTAAAAAATACATATCTACAGGGTGAACAAAGGCTGCACTAACAAAAAAAAAAAGTAATATAATAAATCTTAGACAAAGTTATAAAGCACCAATACAGAACTGAATGGAAGAAAAAAATTCTTACACAGCCTGTGGCTGCACTATGCGTATTCCTCACGAGAGAGGACGACACCAGCTCTTTTAATATGATTTTGGGAGGCTGCACCTCAAAAGCAGTGCCTGTTTTCGAGCTATTAATGATTTTGTCAGCAAGTAGGAAATCTGGAGATGAAGTATGAAATTAAAGAATCTCAGAAGCGTGACTGTGGCTTTATGGGCAGCTGCAACCCAGGGGTTGGATGGCAGATGGGTTTTTGAAAGAACCCCCATTCCTCCTGATTGGAGCTCGACTGGGGCTTGCTGTAGCTCTGCAACCTGCCTTTGCTCTCACATATCTTCAAGTAACACATAGCCCAGCAGCACACACACCAAAATTTTTACCAGCCAACTCGTGTTCAATATCTGGAGGAAAGCCTGCTCCAATCAGCCCTAATTGCATCAGAAACAGTGAAGGTCCAGGAGTTTGAGCAGGTTCTGGTGAAAGTGACACATTTCCGACAGAGAAATTGTGAGGAGCACTACCTGATGCAGGGAAACGAATATGCCACTGGCTGTACCCCTGATCAGCAGCACAGCCAGGAGAGCCACCAGAGCCCTCTCGCCTTCTCCCCATCCTCACTCCAGCACACACTTGTGCTGGCACAAGGATGAAGCCACCGGCCACGTGGCACCAAATGCTCCCTGCTAGAAAGCAACATACCACCTTCAGATCCTTGGGCCACCTGCCAGGCATCTTTGTACCCTCAATGGCCTCGCCACTCTTCCCCGAGATACTGACTGTCCTTCTGCTATCTCCATGTATGACATACTTGGAAAGCAGAGACTGGAGTGAGCAGCAAGGGGCGGGTACGCTATTTTTGGTGATGGGAGATGCCAATTCAGCAAGTTGGGTGGCATGTTTTGAAACAGCAGCAATATCCCTCTTTAGATAAAGAGAGGGAGGCGTTTATAATGTGTCTGTCCCCAGCACACAGAAGTGCAATGGGAGTGAAAAAGCTGCAAGGGGTCCAAGCAAGTTGCAAATTGGCCCACAGTTCATCCCTCATTGCCTCCCAGCATCAGATCATTTGCTGCAGACAGAAGAACGTGAGCAAGGATGCAGTGCACCCTTGGTCAGCCACATTACCAACTCTTCAGGGACAAATAATGACATCAAGATCTGGCTGGCACCTCGTACCTGCTGGCTTGCCATAGCTGTGGAACACCTAATTTTGGCTCTCACTTGGGCACTGGGGAGGAAGGCAACACTGTACTCAGAAGTGAAGCAACCTGTAAAGCAACAGTTTTGTGCAGAACTCAACAGCCACTGGAGACGCTAGCTCACATCGGCAGATGGAGATCAAGTCTCCATCCGGGCAAAAAAAACCCCCTTTCCTCCCAACTGTACACTTGCTGGTACCACAGCCCTACAGAAGAGATGGGACTTTCCAGACCCCAGGCCTGGAAATCTCTACCACAAAAACCAAGGATAAAATCCTCCCTACAAGGGCTTCCCAAAACTTATTATGATGCTATTAGTGGCAGTATCAACAACATGCTACTCAGACATAGGCTTATTCGGGGGCGATGCTGTGACCCTGGTGCTCCTCAGCCTGCAAAACAGATGCATCGTGGGGGATCCAAGCTAGGCCCTGACAACGTGCCTTTAGAGATGCTCACAGCAGCTGCTGGAAAGCAGGTTAGGTGCATTCCCACCCTTAGCCATCAAGAAATGCCGCCTTCCACGCACTTATATACAAATAACCTAACCAAATTTCATATGCAAATTTCATCAGCAAGATGGCGTTTCTAAGAAATCTCCGCCCCAGAGCCGATAGCAACAGTACTTGCATTTGAAGCATCCAGAAGGCAAAACCAGTCCCTCTTTCTTTATTCTCCACTGAAAACTGGTATTCACAATCTGTGCGTGCTACTCACATCACGAGACCCAAAAAAGCTTTTAGGTGTGATGGAGTTTGATGTCTCTAGCAGGACACAGCTATTAATGATGCATATATTCAGGGCAGATTTTAGGGTCAAGGGACTGGAACATCTTCTCTCTTTGAAGGAATGCTCGTCCACCTAAATCTAACAAAGCACCAAGTTATTTTCGCTAAAAAGAAAAACTAGTATTTTACCCCTAAAATTACTAATTTAGCTGAAAATTGCCATCCTCCCCCAATGCTACAGTTCATGTATTGCAGTGAAGTCGTCATGTACCCTGGATACCTAGCTGCGTCAGGACAGTGTGGGCACAACCTGCCCAATTTCTCCAGGCTCACCGGGTTGTCCCCAGCCCCCCCGGGAGAGGGGCACGGTGGTGACACCCTCCCAGCATCTCCTGGGCTGGGGCAGGCAGCGCTGTGCCGGCTGCTCGCCCAGGCTCGGCCAAGCTCCTTCTACCCCCAGGCTCTCTCTCATCTCAGTGTTTCGGGTTTTGTCTCCTTTCTCTAAAAACAAAGCAAAAGCAAAAAACAAACAAACAAAAAAAACCCCAAACCCAACCCACAACACTCTGGTCATCCAAATCCTGTCTATCACTTACACTCGTCACAGCCTGACATACTGCCGCGTTCACCTGTGAGCCACCTCTGCCGGAACCACAGCCACCTCTGCTGCTCCTGGGTCTTGCTTTCAGCTCTTTTCCTTCCACAACTCGGTGTTTTCTCGCTGCCGGTGTCCTCTCCACACCCGCCCGGGACCCTGGCTCGGCCCGCTCGGGGGTCCCCCGAAGCAGCCCCACCGGCTTCTCCCGACACCCCGGCGCAGGCCCCACCGGTTCCAGCCCACCCAGGCTGCCCGCAGCCAGGCCTACGGGGCTTTCCCGGCCACGCACAAAGCTCCCACCAGGCTCCCGGCGCTGCGGGCCCCGTCCTCTCCCCTCTCTCGCTCCAACTTTCCCCTGCTCCGAGGCCCAGATCCTCGGCCGGGCCGGCCTGGGCTTCTCGGCTTCCTTCCTCCTTTCCGGCGCTTCCCCATTCCCGCACACTTCCCTCTTCCCCAGCTCCTTTGTCCCCTCTCGGCCTGCCCTTTCCGCCCGGGCGGCCGGAGTTTCCATGGGAATGGGGGCGGCGGCTGGGGCTCTGCACGGCGCGGGCAGGGGAGGCCGGGGAGAGGGGCCGGGGAGACCGGGCCTCCCCTCCAAGGTAGGTCACTGTATGTTCTGGTAAACTCAAAACGGTTTGTTTCAATATGGACAAATACAAGGATTGGTGGGTGAGGTCAGAGCAAGGCACACGCAGCCCAGAGTCTCACTGCCACCAGCAGCTGTTGAAAGAGGGTTATAAATACAGGGTGCTGTTTCCCCAACTGCTTTTGTAGGGATCTTCTGAGTCAGAAGGTGCATTTTAGCATTTTCTTAGGGTCTTTTTCCTTTAATGTTCCCAGTCCCTTGGGAACATTTAGCACTCAATGTAGCAAGGATTTCCTCCACCCTGCCCAGCGGTCCTATGCCCTGTCTTCTCCCTTCCCTTCCCATTCCCTCCCATCCCAGAGTCTCGCCTCACTTCCCCTGGGCTCAGTCTTCCAACGTCACCCACTACAGCCAGGTAGCCCTGTCCTGCCACAGCCCCCAAGGAGTTCACAGGTGGCTCCTACCGGCACTTTCACAGCAGCGTGGAAAGAAAGCATCTGGGGGATGGAAGAAGCTCGTTATCAAGTGAGTCAACCGAGCTGCAGCAGTGCCTCCCCACATCAGACTCAGCACCACCCCAGTCAATAGTAGTTAAAACCCAAGCGAGGAGCAGCTGCTTTGGGTGGGGTTGAGCTACACGATCTGCAGACCAACACAGGCTACTTGATGATGCTATGGATGGTTAGGCCTCAGGCTGGGAGATGCATCTTAAGGGGGAGGGAAGGACAGGACCAAAACCCAGGGCAAATCCATGTGGCTCATCCCATCCTGTTCCTGGGAGAGGTGCCTAATGGCTGTTTCCTTGAGGAGCATCTTCAGATCAGCATCTTTCCAAGCCCAATGGCTCACTTTGAGTGTGGCTTGTTGCAGCAACAGGGAAAGTTCCTCCTCCCTCCATACGAACTGAACATGTCAGTTCAGTCCCCAATTGCACTGTGGCCAAGGATCCTAGAACTGGAGGACACCAACTTCAGGAGAAAGGTGATGCTTTTAAATACTGAGGCTAAGGAGACTGGAAAGTGTTTGCTCACAGATATCCGAAAGCTCTTGTGGCTAGTTTGAAGAACCAGAAGGCGCTGCCTGCTGATGCCCTGCCAGGAATTGTGGGTGACAAGAGGCCACAGGAGTCTGCATGTGTGCTGGGTATCCCCTTTGCCAGGTCCCCATTTTACTGGGACTCTGTCCTTTCTGCTAATGGTGGGAAGGATCTCCGTAGATGATGCTGTGTGAGAAGAGGCTAAACTGCTCTTTTACATCCCCTTTACTTTCTTGGTAAACCTGAGTCATGTTGGAGGAAGAGTCTTTGGAGGTCTGCAAGCCAACCTCCTGTTCAGGGCTAGACTTCCACCAGTACTAGGTCATACTGTGGGATGCCCTTACCATAAAGAGCTTTATGGCGAGTCTTAGTCACATTTATTTCTTCTCTAACGTCCCCTTATGCTGTGCTTTAGTTGTTCTGTTCCCATATATGCCCACTTGGTGCCACTGTTACTCCATGGGTTTGCAGGCAGGCAGCACCTCTGAAACCCTTTTTGGGGCAGTTTACAGAAGATCTTCAAGTGCACAGGGAGTAGGTGCAAACTGGCCCAGAGACAGTCCTGCACCAGCAAGCAAAGTCTGTCCACAAAAAACATTCATTTCCCAAAGCCTTGGAGGACATGCACGCATCTGTCCCTTGTATTCCCCAAGTCCAGCATGAGGACCTGAGGGAAACGTGACTGTGAGTTGGGATTTACCGAAGCCTGATGGAGGTGAAGCTCCATGTCCCACCTTGTGCCAGGGGTGAGATTGAGCACCTATTGCCAACAGGCACAAACTGTACCAATCGCCTCGCACTCTTCCTCTCTCCAGGTGATGAGGATGGAAGCCTATTAGTGGAAAATACATATACACATAAAAATGTAGATCCCTTCAGTAACTTACGGTGTAAATAAGGCCTAAAAGAAACTTGCGCATACAGTACATCAACATAGTTCCCTTTATCAGCCAAATTAACACCATCTCATAACAGCAAGTGAAGCTGAACTTGCAATCATATCATTGTTATAATTATATGCTTAATATTAGCAGATGCTTTTTGGCATCTTGCCTAGTTAATGTTACAATTGAACAAATAGAAACACCATAATGGGATGAATAAACATGAGCAATGTCTCTAGCTGCATGAAGTAAGAGGGATGAAGCAGTTCATCTCTTTGCTGATGAGGTCTTAGTGGCAGCCCCAGGTCCAGGCTTGACTCCACAGCTGGAACTCAAACATGAGGAAGAACTTCTTTACAGTGAGGGTGACAGAGCACTGGAACAGGCTGCTGAGAGAGGCCATGGAGTTCCCTTCCCTGGAGATTTTCAAGACCCGCCTTGATGCAGTCCTGAGTGATGTGCTCTGAGCAATCCTGCTTTAGCAGGGGAGTTGGACTGGATGATCTCTAGAGGTCCCTTCCAACTCTGTCAAGTCCGTGAATCTGGCATGGGCCAGTGCAATCAGGCACCTACAGGCACAGGCAGGAAGAAGTCCAAATCCTCACAGGGCATTGTCCTGATCAGCAGCTTTTAACAGACTGGACCATTACTTGCCAACCCCCGTTCAGTGGAAAGTGGGATGATCTCACAGCCCTCCCGAACTGCAGCCTGCAGGTCATACAATTCCCATTTTGCTGTGAATGTAAGATGACATTATTCAGCTTCTTCCTAAATACATGACTTCAGCCCATCTAAGATTTTCTAGGCCTTTAACAACAATTTTAACATCCACAACCAGTTAGATATGCAATACCACTGCAAGGGTTTCTTTTCGAGATATATATATCTGTATATAAAACCATTCACATGGCTAGCTTCTGCTTTTTCTGTACAGCTTTTCATTGATATTTGAGCTTCCTAGACAGCAACCCATATTTCATAACTTATTAATAGCTACTACTGCCAAATTCTTCTTCTCCCATTTTGAAGAATACATGAGTTTTCCTTCACTTGCAAGCCTATCGTATGTTCTGTGACTGCAGTTCTGGACCACACTCATAAAATGTTGTGACAATTTGCATCATCTCTGCACAGCTTATAAACTGGTTTTAATTGTTATGAGCTGTCTCTATTGCTGTGAGTTATAGAGATGCATGAAAGATCAGGACAAGCCAGGCGTTGACCGCTCAGCAATGAGCGTGCTGAGCGTGCAATACGTCCAACCCAACTCAGGGCTGCACCAATAAAAGACCTACAAGCTAGGTAAGGACAAAGCTAGTGCACTTATTAATTGTGATTTCTAAAGGCACTGCAAGCAATTGCAACCTGCTGACCTCGAAGGTCTGTGCCAACCCAATACAAGCTCCTTGTCTGCAAACTCAAGGAGTTTGGGGAAAGATTGGGGTAAGGCATGCTCTAGATGTGATAATCAAGCCCGGGTGACAGCTCAATTTATCACTGGGCTGGTTTCAGCATTTTGACTCAGGAGAACATTCCCTGTTGTCATTGCTTGCTTTTTACTCGCAATGAAAAATCTCCGATGAGATTCCCAGCGACGGCTCTCTTTGCATTCCTGGCGCACAGTCAGCTAGCCAAGCAAGTCTGTAAATAATTGAGCACCCGTCATTCCCTTTGCAGTCCCCACCAGCACCAGCTTAGTTTGCTCCCAACAGCAAATATTTAGTGAGGTAATCAATCCAAAAAAAATCTTAATTTGGATAAGAAAATTAAATCCTTTTCCCAGATCTGGTATCTGATTATCTCTGGCATCCATTCTGCCTTTCTTAGACAGCCTTTCTCAGGGTAGGTGCTGTACAAGGAGATAATTACGGAGGATCATAGAAGCAGTTCAATTAGCTGCAGCAAATGCTTCTTATTAGCATTTTGCTGGAGCTTGTAGAGTTTTTCAGCTGAAACAGATAAACAAGCTCAAACATTCACATACCAAAGCTCAGACAAAAACAGAAACAAAGGAACAGGGAGAACGTCAGGAAAATGACAGACCAGCACGTGAGCAGTGGGGACTGGCTGCAAACGTGGGCAGCATTATCCCACAGTTCTCAGGGCATGGATGCAAAGCCTGGACTTTGGGAGCTTCAGCATCTGGACAGGAGTACATTTGGGTCATGGAGCGCAGCTGGAGCCTGTTGTCATAAGGGAGGGAGTCCTAATGCCAGATCAGGTGTCCAACAGGACATAAGATATAGTCAGAGGACCTAGGGGAAACCCAGGTCTGTGGTGCCTCTACGTTCATACACCCACAGTGGCTTCTGGCAGAGAGCTGCACCTTTGCAATGGGCTAAAAAGGGTCCCCGGTGAGAGGTGTGAACCAGCTGCTACAGCCTTGCTGGGGAATAGCTTTCAGACTCATCTATCTTCATGATGCCACAAAAACCCGCTCCGGGTGTGGGCTCTTCTCCATGGGGCCACAGGTCCTGCCAGAAGCCTGCTCCAGCACAGGCTTTCCACAGGGTCACAGCCTGCTTTAGGCACCTATCTGCATCGGCATGGGGTCCTCCACAGGCTGCAGGTGGATCTCTGCTCCACCGTGGACCTCCACGGGCTGCAGGGGTGCAGTGTGTATCACCATGGTCTTCACCACAGGCTGCGGAGCAATCTCTGCTCTGACACCTGGAGAACCTCCTCCCCCTTCTTCTGCACTGACCTTGGTGTCGGCAGAGTTGTTTCTCTCACATATTCTCCCTTCTCTCTTCTGCCTGCCGTTGCAAAGTGGGTTTTTCCCCCGCCTTCTTAAATATGTTATTACAGAGGCGCTACCAATATCACTGATGGGCTCAGCTTTGGCCAGCAGTGGGTCTGTCTTGCAGCTGGCTAGAAACGACTCTGTTCAACAAGGGGGCAGCATCTTCTCATAGAAGCCACCCCTGCAGTTTCCCCACTACAAAAACCTTGCCACATAAAGCCCATGCATGGGCTTATTAAGAACTCTGTAAAATTCTGTGGCTTGTTTGATACTTGTGGCCAGACCGATCTTGTGTTTAATACCTGATATCTCTGCAGACACCCAGATCATCTTCAGTGCTGGAGGGCAGTAATTTGGCTCTTACAACAGGGTCATTTTCCCGCATTTGTCCACCTTTCCCTGGAGTTTCTCATTCTGCTGCCAGAGTCCAGATGTCACAGGTGCAGCAGCGTCTGTCAGCACCTAGAAAAATCCCCATGTTTTTCCTAGAGACCTTTTGGAGAGCCTCAGTCTCCCAGTCATTCACCACCTAATGTTTAATACAAGCTGAATGTCCTCAGGGTGCATCATTGCAATGTCCCTTACTACTGGAATCACTAAAGCAATGGGAAGTCCCTTGAACAGAGGCATGATGCGACAGGTTTGAACTGATAAGCGATTGCTTTTTTCTTCTCTTGCAGTTGAAAGAGATTGTCACCTAAGGAACGCGATAGCAAGGCAGGGCTGATAACAGTGCAAGCTGGTTGAGGATCCAGGCAGGCAGCCCCTGAAGACCAGGGTGGGATGTCCAGACAGAAACATGCTTCAGTTTCTCCTCTCAGACTGAGACATCCCAGATAAAACCCTTATCTGGCCTTTTCTCAAATCAATATGATGCTTCAGTCTCATTCTCAGAGCACAGCAGGGGCAGGCATCTAGGGAACAGCTTTATCGCATCATTTGTTATAGCCAGAGAAAGCTGGATTTTTCCACTCAAAAGTGAGTTCGGTAGGTGCAGTCATGTCCCGGCTGTACGTTGGCGCTGTCAGGTTCCAGCTTTGTTGTGTGCCACTGCACCAGGTAGGACAAGCGTGTCAGCCCAGCTGGCCTGGGGATGCTGGCAAAGGTGAGAGTGCCTTGAGCAGCCTCTTTTGGCTGCTGTGGGGTCCGATGGAGCCCTCAAACATTGCACTGCAATTTTTCCCTCTCCACCCAGAGACCTGAAAGCGTATTTACAAACAGTCCAGTGCCTTTTCTGCCCGTCTTTGCACAGGAGAGGGCAGCAAAACGCTCCTTTTGAAGGAAGGGAAGGCAAGTAGGAAAAAGAGCATGAGGTCTCCATTCGGGGATGTCTTGCTGTTTGCTGTGAAAAATTTAAGCCAGAATCAATTTCTTTTCCTCTTACAAGAAGGACTTACTGCAACCAAAATGTTTGAGCCCCAAACAACAAATCTTTTCCCACCAGATACTCGCAAAAATTGGGCAAGTATCTTTTAGGAGATGTGATGCAGATGATGCTTATAGTTTGGGTGCCAGAGGGAGCACACAGTTCCCAGCTTGGCAAATGCCAGTCCCCTACTTGAAGTGCAGCCTTGCACTTCCATCTCCACTAGTAAATTAAGAGGTGTCAGATGTTCCCTGGCACAAGGGCTCTGTCATCCTCAGCACTACATCATTTGAACGGTTTCCAGCATGTTTTTGGCCAGGCCATGCCATGCAAACCATCCCCCTCTCAAATAATTTCCAGGCGCAGGGGAGGTACTGTTCCCAAGAGGCTCTGGTTGAGGACAGCCTACTCGGAAGAGTTTAATGGCATAGATACAAACCGCACCATTACAGTTTAGCCTCCATACCTGAGAGTGGTCCCAGGTATGTTTAATTTTCTAATACTGATGTGCTAATCCCACTGCATCCCAGCACCCATCCTCAGAAGCACTGTGATTCCCAGGCTGCGTAGAGCCAATTTCAGATCCTCAATGCCTCTTGCCACCCCTCCTGCAGGGATTCAGGAGCTCTGCTGAGCCTTCATCACTAGGGCTGTCAAGCCCACTGGTGAGAGTCATCTATCCAAATTTAGACAACTCCAAAGTAGATGTCTCCAATGAGCTCATCAGGTTTTGGTCCCTTTATAGTCAGTGGCAAGAAACAGGGATGACTCACAGAGCAGTAGACACCTGTCCCAGCATGAGCTGACTCACCTTCAGGAGGTGCCCCTTGCTCTCCACTGCCCTGCACTGCTCAGACACTGATCTCCAAGGTTTGGAGGCCGACATTCAAGCAGATGTTTCCCATTCCCTGGAGCAACATGTCCCAGGGTTGCTGACTGCTCACGCCTACAGACACACCATTGACCCCATAACCAGGGCTTAATTTGCCCTCCATGACCCACTTGGATGAGCTTCCCCAATCACACACCCTGTATTTGTGCACAAACCTCATTTTCTCAAGACACGCTAAAAAATACGGAGAAAATATAACAAGCATAAAGTTCAACTAAAAGTACTACAAAACCTTTCCTACTCGATGCAGCTGAAAATAGAGTTGCTTGCACACACAGGCTGTTAGTGCTTTAAAAAAAAAAAAAAAAATCTTAGCTGCCTTGAATGTATTTGTATTTATAGCTGAGAAAACATTGCTTCCCTTGCTGAAAGCCTGTGTAAATGCAACCGTTTGCTCAGTACATGTGATGGAGAAGCGTGAACCCACCAGGTGGCTGCAGCGTTGCCAGCACGTAGAGTTCATTCAACCCTCCACATTCCTTCCGGGATTTCTGCAAGGAGACAAGATGCAGAGCTGAGCGGCAGCAAAGGCAGGTGGGTCGTATCCAACCTGACAGGGGACAGTGCTCAAAACAGAGAAGAGCACGGGGGTGGACTTTCAAATTCAGCGAAAAGCCAGCCTGAGGCAGAAAGGTGGTTGGAAACTCATTCACGAGGCCAGATCTCCTCTGGTTTTAGGCTGAAGTCAAGCTGGTGGCTGCAGCTGATCTCTGGATACACATCCATATCATCCTGCCAGCACAGAGAGGCCAGGTTTTCAGATCTGCAGACAAAAATTATGATTAGAGCTGAAACCATGCTCATCCGAGTGCTCTGGTGTTTGTAGGTAAGTGCTAGCTCTTTCAATGTTACTGCTGTTGTCATTTTATCAGCTTGCTGCAATCTGCTTTTTTTCTATATTTGACTGTTTATAATTAGCCCACTGGGTTTGCTATTCTCTCAATTTCTTTATCTGTTTCCTGACAGTTTTGGAGATGGCTCCATTTTAAATATATACTGTGCTTTAACTGTTCTCCAGCTCTCTTTGAAGCTCAGCACTCTGGGGAGAGTGCCAGTAGACAGACTTTCGGCTCAAAGAATATGGGTAATAAGGAACAATTAGGTGGCAGCAAACATTTAATTATCAAATGTATTGGTGCTTCTTACACTGCCTGAAGTTAAGCAGGTGCCTTATACACAGGCTCCTTCAAATACCAAATTTGAAAAATGCTTCAGAGCAAAACCAAATGAGCTGATGAATACATTTAGGCTATAAATTAGGCAGAGGCTTTTAGCAAAAGCCTGGAACAAGCTTCACACTGCATTAGCATCTGCAGGGGACAGCATCATAGGTTAGCACAGGAGACTGCACACCCTGCCCTACAGCAGAGAGGACCAGCTCCATGGTTGGGAAGTGTCCTGGTCAGGTGCCGCTGACCTCGAGGTACTGGGGTTCTGCTCATACCAGTGGGACTGCCCAAACCCACTTCAAGGGAGTGGACTGGCCAAGGCTGAAGCCACCAGTCTTACCTTGCCCTGGTCATTGGTGCTATTTGCTGTCTCTCACTGAGCAGTGAAAACACACCAATTTCCTGAGACCCCTAACTCTCAGCTGTAAAGAGCCACAGGCTCTCTTGTCAGCCACACTCCCTTCGGCTTGATGTTGTAGGGTGGAATCAAACCTGATGGAGAAGCTCTGTGCAAATCCCCTGCAATCCTTCCAAAGTCGGTAGGAAAGCAAGCTTGCTTAGGTGCTGGACATTCCCCTGAGCTGTCCGAGCCTAAATCCCAGCACCCGGAAGAGAGGAGCAGGCCTTTGCCACCATGTGCCACAGATCCACTCTGTATTTTTCAGAGACAAGGCTGACATTGCTCACAGGGCAAGCTGAGAACAAAACCCGATTTATTGCAGGAAAACAAAAACATGTTCCTGGACACAAAGCAAGAAACAGATTTACAGAACTCCTTGCAGCTCCAATACACGCCAAGTCTGATACACCTCACTACCAGAAAAAGGGGTCAGGCAGACCCCTCACAGAGAAGCCACAGCATCACTTTGTCCTTGTACCTCACCAGCCAGCTCACAGAACAGCTTCTGAGCCTGCAATACTGAAGGCAAGCAGGATTCTCCCTGAAAGCTTTACCAAGCATGAGGTAGGAATCCTCTGCCAAAAAGGGGGGCTTCTCCTGTTCTCCACCCTGTGCTCTGCCGCTCAGCTCTGTCACTCCAGACTCTACCAGAAATGACCATCTGCACTTGGGCAAGTCCAGCTTTGTGAAATATTTGAAAGAAAAAAAAGGGTTGATTTCTGAGACTGATAGCTGTTAAGGTTAATTCTTAAAACAATTTCCCATACATTTTGTAGTTCATCTGGGAAATTCTGTTCTTGCATCTTGCAAGAACCAGCACACTCCCTAGACAGAGGGACAGGCATTACACTTGCACGCTCAGCTTCATAAATCTACAATGGATCCCAGCGCTTCATACTTCAGGAGCTCTGTGTCCCTTCCTGCACTTTCTTTTTCCAGTCTCAGGATAGAAACGTCTATCTTGTGCTCCAGCTCAAGCCAATGGTCTCCTCACTCCTCGCAAAATAGTCCCTGTGCCTGGGAACCCTAGCTATTTTGACCTGTCCCCCTTCTCTGGTTCTGCCTCCTTCATTGTTTCAGGCACAAAACCTGGCCAAAGTGGCCCGCGGGTGGCACGTGACAGGAGGAAGGGTGTCAGGGACTGCCTGGGGTGTGCTGCCTCCCTGGAGCTCTCCTGCTGCTCTGTTTCATAGAAGTCAAAGCTGGAGGCCTCTTTCCAACATCAGGTCTCCTGCACATTGCGAGCCATCAAATCAAATCACATCCAGATCTTGTGTCCTCTGGAGGCAGAGCGAGGGTTGTGGTGTTGTTTTTTTTTTCCATTAAGTGTCAACTTGGGCCTTAAAAATCGCACTGTGGTGGGGAACACCGACTTACCTCTCTTCTGACGGAACATGGCTGCTGCTTCCAACGTCTGATCTTGTCTTCAACTTTCCAAACCTCCTTTCCAGGCAGCTTCTCTTCACTCACCTTCTAGGAAAAAAACAAACACAAGCCACTGCCTCATCGGTGGTCTCAAACCTTGCTTTTCAGACCCAGGTCTAAGCTGTCTGAGTGAGGCACTAGGGCCAAGATGGGCCCATGTTCCTGTGGTGCTCCCCTTGGTGCTGTGCACGCAGCTAAGCCTCTCCTCTGCCCGCTTCCTCCTGCTTCAGATACACACCATTCCCAGAGAGCAAAATCCCTTGGAGACAGTGAACAAGGGACACTTGCTCATGGCTGGAGAGTGCAGCTAAAGCAAGCGTTAATTCCACTTACAGGATGAAATTGGCAGGAGAGCAACTGAATTTTCCGCCCAGCTCTAAAGTGCTCTCAAAGCTATCTAATTTATCACTGCGGCAGCAGCAGCAGCCATTCAAATGCTCTCCCAGCTCTCTGGCTTTGCAATCAGGTGATGACTTCATGTTAGCAGATGGATCCAAGTTCTTTGTCTGTCTCCAGTTCTCGGGTCCTCACCAGATCTTGCGGTTCCAGTTGGCCCTTTCAGCCCTCTGCTGCTCCGTGGGTGGCTCTGACAGGCGTAGACTCTGGGCACCATGGTTCAAACCACCACGCCTGCTTAGAGGAGACTTCTGTCTGCCCAGGATGTGTGGCTGTGGGTTTGGTCTTCAAGGAGCACACAGCACTGGTAGGTTGTGGTGGGCTGTGCTTTTCTTGTGCTCTGGTGAGAGAGGAGCAAGAGATCTGCCTCTTTTCTCGAAGCAGTAAAGATTCATATGTAGAGTCCCTGTGTCAGTCTTTGAGAACAGACAAACCTCATCCTAGGAGAGATGTGTCTGTCCAGGATGCACCATATGCTACACTGCATACAGGACAGCAGAGACTTTTGGGCACCTGTGGATACAACCAGCCAAGGAGGGGGCATGTGAGATTGGAAGAGGGGATGTAGAAGGGAAGGATAGGGAGGGTGAGGGGGATAAGGACTGGGTGAGGAAGAGGAGGATTTGACAACAGAAGGTTGGGCTTTTTTGTGAATAGTGCATGGACCAAACATCTCAGTCTTTGTCCCTGGGCTTCTGCTGACATCACTCGCATGCCCTTGAGAAGAACCAATCAGTGCTTCTGCCAGAAGTTAAAGCACAGATGAAGCTCCAGCACAGCTATGCTGCTCACACACAGATCACTGAAAACCACAGTAAGCTCAACCATTGGGTCATACACCCTATGCAGAGCCCAAGACTGAATGCTGTAATCTTCCTAACTAGCAGGTAGGAAATGGTTACCAGCATGGGGATCACACAACCTAACATCAGTGAAATCCATCATCAACAGAGAAGACGTGCACATCTGGCCCCGCTGCTGGGGTCCCTTAATTGCATTGCACTTCACCATGGTACGGCAGGACCCAACGCCCCCTGCATATCTCTGTTGACTGTCACAGATGCGCAGGGCACAAACGGGGATTCCTTTTCAGTGGATGACTGCGAGTGGTGACACAAACCCACTCTTTCTGCATGTTCCATCAACTTCAGCTGTGTACACAACACCCGCATCTATGCAAAAATAAACCTAACTCAGTCATCAGCCAGAGCTTTAGCGTAATTATGAGCTGTTTAACCCTCAGGTTCAGGCTTCAGTAATGACTTTTGAGGGACCTAACAATATACAACACAATGACTAATGATGCACCGTACTTAGCACGTGCAAAGGACTTCATTTTGGGTAGCCACCTACAGTACCTTCTGACAATGAGAACCTGTGTGAACTGGCTATCTTCTACTAAGAGGACAATATGTCTCTTATTTGTGTACCAAAACTTTTCATGTAGCCTACCTCAGAAGAGACCCAAGGGAAGGAGAACATTTTGCTGCCTTCAGGAAACCAAGAAGTACCCTTTTGCACTGCTATGAGACATAAACTCAGTGTGTGAACAGCTCTGCGTTTACCAAAGGCCAGGCATGCTGATAAAACACCTGAGAACAGGCCCTGCACTTGGAGAGAAATGTCTTTTAGAGCAGTTTCTGACACACATGTAATTCCCTCAAAGAGCATCTAGTGCCCTCTGGACACATGGGCCAAACCTCCCAGTCTAATTTCTCCACTGACAAGAAATAGATAGAGAGGGAGACACTGCTGTGATAAATCAACACCTCAGTGAGGTCTCTGTCACTGCCACACATGATGTCCTCATAAGTAAACTACAGGAACAAGATCCAGCCAAAGGCAACACCATTTTACGAGGTCTTCTGGATGCCTGTAACAAGGTTAGCCTGTCAGGCTAAGTGCAGTGGCATCGCCTCTGCTCTTCTGTTAAGATCCGTGACAAGGATCCGTGACAAGGATCCGTGACACAAACTGCAGCTGCTCCACAAAGATTAACAGAAATATAAGAAATATAGCATCTCCCTCAGGAATGCAAGAAACAGCTCTGCTGCAAGACACCAGCAAAATATCCAGAGACAATGACCAGAAGCTTCTAATAATCCTAGTCTATAATAATTAATTGAAATGAAGAAGTAGATATGCAATATGAAAATAAAGGGATGTATTGAGGGGGATTTCCCAGGGTATCTTCCCCAGCTGTGGACAGGGACAGCAGGGGAAAGTCTTCTCCCAGCTGAACCATGCCTGGGAAAAGAGCAGGGATGATTCCATCCTCCAGTGGGAAGAGGGGCAGGGCTGGACCAGGCTGATGTTACTCACTCATGACTCAGGCACACCGACAATACAAACGAAAAAAACCCAACCTAAATCCACACCAACCTAAAAAATCCCCACATGGCAAAAGCTGTGAGTCAAAGAAAAAGAGGCAGTTGCGGGCTCTGCTACCCACCAACCCATCTCTTCGATTTCTGCCCCCATGCTCGCTTCATTGGGCACTTCCCCAAGCTCTTCATCTCCTTTCATCCCCCTCTCCTTTGCCAGGTTCACCCAAATTCCACCATCCTCTTCTGTAGTCTCCCTGCTTCTCCCATGCTCTCATGTTCCTCCCTGCTCTTGCCATCTCTCCTCACACTTCATGTCTGGCCACACTCCCCTTCTGCAGACAGAGAGCTGCCACCCCACATCCCTCGTGAGATCTCCCCTCAGATGCTCACCCCCATGCGACACATACCCGCCTTTCTCTGTGCAGAAGTAGGGGAAAGATGAGGAAAGAGGGTCCCTCACCCTCTTGCTAGGAGCTCTCTTCACCGACCACTCCTCCTTCAGCTCTGGGACTGAGATGATTGCTGCCAGAGACCCCTGACGGTTGGAAGACACGAGCATCAGAGGAGAAGCCAGGCTGTGCCTTTCCTCAGGCACAAAGGAAGGACATGGAGATGAGGCACAAGGCTTTTTTCTTTTTTTTTTTTGCAGCAAAGATGCGTGGGAGAGATGCGCTGAGAGGGGAGCTGGAACATGAGAGCTCAGAACTGGAGATTTCACTGAGGTCCTCCACTAGAAATGTATTCATCTCATGGTGATTCCTCATTTATAATTACTCTGAGACCTGGCAGTTCACTGGGCTTACGGTAGTATTGCTGGTGCTCCAGTTGCTCAGTCATGTGATGCCCAGGCAAGTGCCTTATGGAAATTCATCAAATCGCACTAAAGCTTTTATCATTCAAGACTGCAATTTCAACAAGAAAAGAGAATACGCCGTGAATGTCGAAGGACAACTACACTATCACCAGAGATGAGCTGAGGAGTGTACAGCCTTTGTGAAGTTTTCCCACGTGGTGCAGATAAGACTGGATTTATTGTAGACCTTTGCAGCCCTAAACCTTGTACAATGGCTTCATCCATCCAGACTAAATAAAACAGGTGCAGCCCGCTCTGGCTTTGATGAGGAAAGAGAGAGGTCCCCCTCTTTATTCTGGAAAAATAATGACATAAGATTGCCAAGGTCCTTGAACAGAGACACCATGCCACAATTTACACACTAAATACAATATGAACTAATGCAGAGATTGCCTCCCTGACCTCCCTGACTACAGTGTCCTCATGTGTGTAAGAGGCTGCAATCATGCTTTTTATACGCATCATTTTTCAGCAACACCCCAACATAAAAACCCATTTTGTCCCATTATCAACTTGCAATATTGAGGTGAAATAGGCTCCCAAGCCCAGGGGCAGGGCTCGGGACACCTCCAGGTGGGGCAGGTCCAGGCCATTAAAGCCTGTTGGTGCCCTCAGGCACAGACACATGCTTTTCAAAAGACGGTTGCACATAAATACTGCTCAAAGGCAGGCAACACGAAACATGCATGTCCCTTCTACACGTGGCTAATGTTTTTCTGCACCGTTCTATCTCTTTTTGCAATGTACCATGAAAGCATAACTCAAAACACTTTGCATGTAGACAGTTTTCAAACGCCCTGTCTGGCATTCACTGCAACAAGAGGCAGGATGTAACTGCTTAAACCTATTGAAACGTTTAATCACACATTGGCTCATCTGTATACAAACTGGAGAAAGTGTTCAGATCTGATGCCTGTGTGTATGACAGGACTGAAACTGAGGCTGGGCATACACATGTCATTTTGCCCCTAAATCTGCAATTTTAAACCCAGGCAATTTTCATCCCTGTTCTGGCACTGGCTACATAATCCAGATCTAGAGAAGCTTCCCAAGTCACTCTTAAATCAGGCATTTATCATAGTTCATCTGAAGCTGTTATTTTAGAGAGACACCCCAGGGAGGGATTCAATTGGTTGTTTATAGATGCTTAAAATACAGCCACCTGCATTTCATCCAGGCACCCAAAGCTCCCTTTACTGTCAGTGGAGGTAATGGGTGCGGGTCATGTCATCCTAAAGTAGGCATCTAAAATAGCTTAAATGAATCTTAAATTAACTCCATTCCCAAATGTAATTTAAAGATGCAAAAAGATAGCAAATATATTGCTTCCTGTAGAATATGTTCTCCTGATAGATTCCCCTCCTTGTTAAATGTCTGAATCATATTTGGAGCTTGAAATTGCTAAAAATCTTTCATCCCTGAGCCTTAGTACATTTCTGCATGTTATAATAAATATTCCTCCACTCACATTCTTTGCTAAGTATATAAATAGTGCATGCAGTCAAGTAATTTCCCAACCTTTCCTGTGCATTGCTGCCTTTCCTTTTCATGCTAATTCCTACAACGGCAACAGTGTCTGGAAGCTGTTCTTCAATATGACATTTCTTGGGTTTTTATTTGTTTTCTTTGGAAAAGCCAAAATAGGGCATGTAAAAGGCGGTGCTCTGGTCTCCACTACTTGGAAATTTTGCTAGCCCCTAGGATTGGAACTCATCGGCCACCAAAAGAAAAAACCCGCCCCAAACCTTACAGTGTAGACATCTGACACTTTCAGATTTTATGGCCTCTGCCCTTGGCTTGGTCTGGGTCAGTACTTTAAATTTCAACTCCAAGGCATGTGCATTCAGAGACAAATCATGCTGTTTATTTATGACAGCTGGAAACAGCTAGACTGTTCCTGTTCAAAGTTCTAAATGGCTTGAGTTTTTTTTCTCCATCCAGGAGAATTACCACAGAGCAGTACTTTCTGTAAGTTTTGGTCCACACCAAAAAAATATCTGAATGGAAACCATTGTGCAGCTCTGGAGGAAGCAGATCCTGAAGTCACTGCAAGATTAGTGCTCTCAAGTCATCCCACCAGCCTGAGAAAAGCTACCTCCCTCCAAAGCATGGTGCAGATCCTACAGCATTAGGAAATAGCACTGAAAAAGCAGCCTGGAC